CAGCAGGAAGCTGGGGCACAGCTCACTCACACGCCCTCAGGCCCTTGGAACCCAAAACAGGGTTCGTGAAAGAATCACAGGCCTCAGATCACAAAGTCTCTGCCCAGGGGGCCTCTTGGAAACTTGAGGAAACGTAAAAACCTGGTGGGGTAGACAGGTGTGGATAGACGGGCGGCCCTGAGAGCCATGGTTGCCAGAGGCCAACCTGCGGGACACCCCCGAACCTTCTGGCCCCTGCAGGAGGGCGGCCCACGCCCTCCTGTGCTCAGAGAGCCCAGATTCCCAACAGGGCCCAGACCCCAAGGGAACAGCTCTCGGTCACTAGAGTGGCTCCTCCCAGCCTGGGCTTCTCACCCAGGAGAGAAGGCCTTGCAGGCTGGAAAGTAAGATCGAAAGAAAAGGCTAAAACGAGTGAATCCACGTTAACACCCTAGGAATCAAAGCCTGGCCGTGCTCGCCGGCCGCCCAGGGGTCACACCCGGTGAGTTCAAGGCGCCCCGCCACCCTCGCTCCCCGACAGCCTCCGCCTCAAGGTCCCCTCCTCGGGGCTCTGCTCACAGGGCAGCCGCCCCGCTCCACGTGCCTGCCCTTCCCCTCTCCTCTGCGAGCTCGGGGCTGAGTGGGCAGGGGCAGAACATGCCTGGCACGAGGCGCACACTCAGTGAACGTCTGTGCTTGGGGACAAGGCAGAGGCCAGCGGGGCCACTCCTGCTGGAGAGTCCCTGCCGGGCCCGGGGAGGCTGGGTCTCCTGCGCCCTGGAGCTGGCTCAGAGAGGAGGGAGGGGGCGCAGCCGCGGCAGAGCGGAGACCAGCCACCTTCCTCCCCGAGGCCTGCGGTGCCCATCACTGACCTTACCCACAGAGGGGAAGCCGATCAGTGCCACGCGGGCGTCGCCTGACTTCATGACATCGAAGCCCTCGCCTTTGGATGAGGATGATTTGGAGGGTTCCAGGAGCTGGGCCCGATACTTGGCGAGTTTTGCTTTCAGCAGGCCCAGGTGATACTCGGTGGCTAAAAGACAACACAAGATGGAAGGTGAGTGTCCCGGGTGGGTTGGGAGGGTCCCGTACGCAACCAAATACACGCAACCGAATGCTGGCCGGGACTCTCAGAGCCAGACAGCAACCGACAGACAGACAGGACCCAATGTCAGTGGTTCTCAGCCAGGGCGGCACCACTCCTGGGGGCATCCTGGAGGGCGTTTTCAGGTGTCGCTGCGACGGTGAAGTGATGGTGAAGTCTTCACGGGCACTTATCAGGCAGGAGCTGGGGAAGCCTGCAGCTCTGTAAGGTGTAAGTCAGACCAGCAGAGCCAAGAACTGTCCTGTGTCGCAGGGCCACAGAGGGAGCCTGTATTAGGATCTCTGGGGCCCAGAGCCTCACAGGGCATTTTTACAGCATTAACAGACACTGGCATTCCCAGGAGTGGAACTACTGTGTATGTTGAGGGAAGAGTATGGCATGTTTTGTTTGAAACTTTACCCAGACGGGCTTGCCTGCTTGGAACCAGGCTGCC